GAACAGAATAGAGACTCCAAACATTAACCCAAACATATATGTCCAATTAGTATATGATAAAGGAGCCATGGACATACAATGGGGAAATGACAGTCTCTTCAACAGATGGTGCTGGCAAAACTGGACAGCTACATGTAAGAGAATGAAACTGGATCACTGTCTAACCCCATACACAAAAGTAAATTCAAAATGGATCAAAGACCTGAATGTAGCTCATGAAACCATAAAACTCTTAGAAAAAACAGAGGCAAAAATTTCATGAACATAATAAACATGAGTGATTTGTTCATGAACATATCTCCCCGGGCAAGGGAAACAAAAGCAAAAATGAACAAGTGGGATTAAATCAAGATAAAAAGCTTCTGTACAGCAAAGGACACCATCAATAGAACAAATAGGTATCCTACAGTATGGGAGAATATATTCATGAATTACAGATCCAATAAAGGGTTGACATCCAAAATATATAAAGAGCTCACACACCTCAACAAACAGAAAGCAAATAATCCAATTAAAAAATGGGCAGAGGAGATGAACAGACCGTTCTCTGAAGAAGAAATTCAGACACATGAAAAGATGCTCCACATCACTAGTTATCAGAGAAATGCAAATTAAAACCACAATGAGATTATCACCTCACACCAGTAGGGAACGCCACCATTGAAAAGATAAACAACAACAAATGTTGGTGAGGTTGTGGAGAAAGGGGAACGTCCTACACTGCTGGTGGGAATGTAAATTAGTTCAACCATTGTGGAAAGCAGTATGGAGGTTCCTCAAAATGCTCAAAATAGACTTACCATTTGACCCAGGAATTCCACTTTCAGGAATTTACCCTAAGGATGCAGCACTCCAGTTTGAAAAGACAGATGCACCCCTGTGTTTATTGCTGCACTATTTACAATAGTCAGGATATGGAAACAACCTAAATGTCCATCAGTAGATGAATGGATAAAGAAGATGTGGTACATATGCACAATGGAATATTGCATATGCATATGCCATAAGAAAAAAACAGATCCTACCATTTGCAACAACATGGATAGAGCTAGACGGTATAATGCTCAGTGAAATAAGCCAGGCGGAGAAAGACAAGTACCAAATGATCTCACTCGTATGTGGAGTATAAGAACAAAGGAAAACTGAAGGAACAAAACAGCAGCAGAATCAAAGAACCCAAGAATGGACTAATAGTTACCAAAGGGAAAGGGCCTGGGGAGGATGGGTGGGAAGGGAGGGATAAGGGTGGGGAAAAAGAAAGGGGCATTACTATTAGCATGTATAGTGTGTGTGGCCGGGGGGCATGGGGAGGGCTGTGCAACACAGAGAAAAGAAGTAGTGATTTTACAGCATCTTACTATGCTGATGGACAGTGACTGTGAAGGGGTATGTGGGGGGGACTTGGTGAAGGGGGGAGCCTAGTAAACATGATCTTCTTCATGTAATTGTAGATTAATGATACAAATAAAAATTTAGCAAATAGAATCCAGCAATATATTAAAAGGATCACGCTCAAGTGCAATTTATCTAAGAAATGCAAGGTTGGTTTAACTTTCAAAAATTAAAAATGTAATTCACTGTACTAACAGGGTGAAAAAAAAAAGTTCATGCTTCACTGATGGGCAGTTCCTGCAACGGGGCATGGGGGGGACACGATAATATGGGCAAATGTAGTAACCACACTGTATTTCCATGTGAAACCTTCATAAGAGTGTATATCAATAATACCTAAAAAAAAAAAATCAGAGTGAGGTGAAGGGGTACTACATGCATGAAAATAGTGGATACTTCAGTTGGGCAAAGTAATGTGCTGATTCTGAACCCTGCGTTGGGTCCCTGAGGGGCTATGAAGCTATGACAGTGATTCCCCAAACCACTGGCAAACCACAAAAGCAATGAAGAACGTCTTGAACACATAGGTAAAACTAAAAATTATATAACTTTGATTAATACAACATAAATTCACTCAATGACATTACTGAATTCAACAAAGAGGACTATTAGTATGTGTTTTCTAAATCAACAAATACCAAGGGTACAACTACTATAATAAGCTAGTCTAAGAAATTTTTCTATTTTAAAAAAGGAGTTCTGTGTTCAGACAGACTGGTGGGTTCTGGAGTTAGATCTTTATCCAAACTCAATCACTATTACTAATTAGTTGTGTGGTATGGGCCAAGTCTCTCGAGTTTATTTCTTCATCTCTATAGTGGGGATTATAAAACCAACTTTGCTTATTTTGACAATTAGAGAAATACCTGACATATTTTAGGTGTTCAACATAAAATGAAAAGCTGAGGTTGAATCATTGTCCACCTTTAATACCAGTCTAAGGAATTGGTATTTTATTTTGGGCACAACAGTTACTGAACGGTTTTTGTTCCAGTGACAGGGTAATCAGTTCCTTAACTATGGAAACCTATTAGGTTATTGCAGAAGTGGAGGTGAGGCATAATGAGGCACTGGCAGTGAGTTTCTGGAATATTTCAGACCATAAACTACAGGACTCTGCATTTACCTGTTTATGAGGGATGTCAGATAACAGCCACTATTTTGAGCTAGCTGGTACTGTTAACAAAAAGTAAACAGAGATGTGAAGTTCAGTTTGCAGCTAAGATTATTGTGACTGAAAATTAATACACAAACCATCAAACACGATGTCTATTGAAAAGAAAATATTTTGTTCATTCTCTTTAGAAGAGCGGGTTTTTAAAAGCTTTTTCTTTAACGAACGGTGTAATACACTCGGGGTCGGATTTATTACAAGCTTGCGGAAAGGCCCTCCAAAATACCCAAGTGCCACTTAGCCCGACGTTAGAGAGCGCCGGTGATGTCACTTCTACGTGGGGCGCCCTAGGGCGTCTCGGCGGACGTCTTGCGTCATTACCAGCGAGACGCCGCCGGCGGAGCGACTCCCGCCGCCGCCGCCGCCGGCTCCTCCCGGTAGCACCATCGCGCGTACTCGCGCGTCCCCTGGTGGCTGCCGGCTTCGAGGTTGGCCCCGGCATTGAGGCCCAATACGGAGTCGCTCCCTCTGGCGTCAGCCTGAATCAGCGCGTGCACCCAACTCGGCCCCCCCAGCAGTAGGCGAGGGGCGACTCCTCGAGGTAAAACCGAAGAGGTGCAGAAGGCGGACTCTGCTCCGGCCCAGTCGTCCTGGCGAAGCGGAGACTCGCGGTCACCGGGTGCACGTGCCATGGCGGAGGAGCAGGAGTGCGGTACCGCGGCATCAGGCTCTGCCTGTCAGGCGGCAGCAACTGTGGAACCTGCGGTGTCGTCAGCGGAGGCCGCCGAGGTGATCGCACGATCGCCGAAGCCGGAGGACTGCAATAGCAAGTGCGTGTTCTGCCGGATCGCGGGGCGGCAGGAACCGGGCGCGGAACTCCTCTACTGTGAGGTGGGTAAGGACGCGCGACCGGGAGGGCTGGTCGGCGACGCGATCCCTGCGCAGCCCCACAGGGACGCCTTGCCACCGTGTGACGCCAACCTTTCAGAGCTCCCGGGAGGGACGGAGGCCTCGCTCGTGTGGCCTGGGGTGGGGAGACCCCTGGTGGGTGAGGCCGAAGCAGGCTGGGTGCCCTCGCCGTGATGACGGCCTTGCTGCTCCCCAAGTGGGAGTGTCTGCAGCGGCATCTCTGATGTTCCGAGGGGAGAAAGCGTGGTGATAAAGCCAAATACTTCGAATTTCTAGACAGTGCTTTTAAATTCTGCACACTGTAATACTGATACTGTGGAGAAAACTAGTAGAAGATAGGTAGTGGTATCATGAAAAGCTCGTTTGGTAGAGCGACTGGAAGTAAACGGGGGATAGTGAGTCAGAGGCTGAGCTACTATCTAGTAGCCTCTGATTTTCACTGAAGCGTTCAGTTCCTAGGAGTGTTGTCAAATTGGAATGTGTGCACATTTTCATAGCACTAAAATTTTGTCCCGGGATTTTAAAAGAGATACCCAGTACATGCTTGCCTCTACCAGCTACAGTTGTCTTAAAAAAAACAAACAGTTTTTCGAGAGAATCCAAAAGCTCCAAAGATTGTTTTTTGGAGTAATCAGTATTCATTTGTTAAAAGTTAATTAAATGCTAAACACCTGTGTTGGAGATTCAGTGGTGAACAGGATAAAGAATAGTTCCTGTCCATATCGCCGACAGATGAGGCAGCTCATCGCAACGCCCTGTGCTGTGGTGAAGTGGTTTTACCACCTGCAGTATTTTGCAAAGCTGTGGGAGGGGCACCTAACCTAGATTTGAAGGGCTAAGGAAGGCTTTCGGGAACAAGTGAAACATGAAGACAGAAGTAGGAGTTGACCAGGTGGGAGAATAACGTCGTAGGTGTAGAGCACCTTGAGAAGTTTGGTTCATGCCATAGAGCTGGCAGAAATTCAGTCTAACTGGAGCATAGAGTTTGAAAGGATGAGGGATGAACGGTGAGGCTTGAGAGGTAAACAAGGGGCCACATTATTTATGGTGTTGTCATATATGTAAAGGAGTTTTGTCTTTAACTGAAGAGTGAAAGAAACTTTCACAGTGTTTAATGCTGGGATGGGAGGAGGGGCTTGAGTAGTGGCATCAAGAGGTTTGGTCTTTGAAAGATCATCCTGGTACTATTGTGGAGAATAATTTGGAGAGGACCAGTGTGGAGGCACGGAGACCTGTTAGGAGGCTACTGATGAAGTAAAGCTGCCTGATGAAGGCCTGAAATAAAAATGTGGTAGTGGGAATGAAGAAAAGTGGATCAATTTAAGGATATTTAGGAGTTAAAACAGGCAGAACTTGTTGATAGCCTAGGGGTTCCCACCCGAGGGTACTTGCTCCCCGAGGGGATATTTGGCAATATCTTGAGACACTTTTGATTATGACAGCTTGGCAGGGGAGTGAGGTGGGTTACTGACACCTAATGAGTGGAGTCCAGCTTTGCTACCATTACACAATGCACAGGACAGCTCTGCAACAAAGGATTATCTGACCACAAAATGTCAACAGTGCCTAAATTGAAAAACCCTGATTTACTAAATCAGTGTAAGAGAATGAGGAAGAGAAGTGGGGATGTCAAGGATGATTTACAAATTTCTGGTTAGGGTAAATTGGTAGTGGTGGTACCGTTTCATTAAGATTGGGAATATAGGAGAACAGATGGCCAGGAGAGTGGTAGGAAGTAGCAAAGTGATGAGTTCAGTTTGGAGTTGAGGAGTTGGAGGTGAGTGTGAGGCATACAATGGTTAGATAGTCTGGCATTCGGGAGAGCTTGGGATCTCCAGCCCAGGTTGTGGGAACTTCCAGTTCATAGATGGAAATTGAGAAGAGGAATTAAAGAGATCGCCCAGGAAATACATATGGAGTAAGAAGTTGAAGGGGGCTTACACAGAGCACTGAAGAACACTAACTTCATAAGGGAGGGGCAGAGAAAGAGGACCTGGAAAGGGGATAGAGAAGAAACAGAGAAATAGAAAACTAGGAAAGCTAAGAAAAGCCAGTATTTTCTGAAGAAAGAATTTATCAGCAGTTTCAGCAGCAGCGTCAGCTTTCCTTAGTCAAGTCTGAGTTAGGTGATCCCCCTACGTGCTTGTGGAAAGGCCGGGTTAGATCAGGGTTGGTTTTGTCCCCAAACTGACAGTCACTGACTTCAAGGAGAGCAATGGCTTTGTTGAGGCAGAAGGTAGATGGCGGTCAAATGAGAAGAATCTGGGGGTGCACAGTTGAAGACAGTAAACATGGACAACTTTTCAAGGAAGATGGAAGTCTTGGGGAGGACAGCAAGGCAGTGGTAACTCCAGAAGAAGCTGGAGGTTAACAGAAAGCTTTTTAAAACAATGAAGACTTTGATGTGTTTAAATTTTTTTCTTTGTTACGAACATTCTCAGAGTAAACTATATGAAGAGACTGGGGACATTTTTATACAGGAAATTAGACATGGTCAATCTTTTAACTAATTTGTACCCTAAATAGGGAGCACAGGATGAATATATACAATAGTTCATATAATACAGAACATAAACAAGAATACATGTTTGTGTTCCAGTAGTACCCCAGAAAGTTGCATATCTCTTTCAAATTAAATCCAAGATGATTTGATATACTAGTTAAAGGTTAAAGGTCAATCTTTTTAAAAAGAGAATAATCATCTAATATTTGTGTTTTACATTAAATATATAATATATATTTATTCATATATATATTCATTATAAACATTTAGAAACACTTGGGTTTATAAAGTAAGGTATACTTGTAGTTAAATGCTGAGAAGAAAATTTGATTTGGAATTTGGAGTTGCCAGCACTATGTGGGGTTAGCCTGGGAAACCTTTTCAGCAAAAGCTAGAGATGAACCCTGTGACTCTTATGCCTCTATACAGTGTTTCCATATTACATACTGCAGAATTAAAAGTAAGCAAAGACTAGAGTGTGTATTCTCAATGGGGAAAATACCATTCCCAAAGGGGTGAAAATTGGTTCTTGGGAGGCAGTATCTTACTCATGTATAAGGCAAAAAGATATATGCAGAATATGTAAACAGATAAAGAATATTGAGGTAAAGAGATAGAGTGTCTGTGGTATTAAAATACGAGGGTGGAATTAGGAAAAGTCTTAAAAATGTCCTTAGAAGGGCAAAAAAAAAAATGGTTGAGAAATGCTGGGCTAGATGTTTACTTTCACCTTACTTGAAACCATGCTGAGGAAATACTAGTTTAGGTTGAATGTTCTCCCCCTTCTTTCATCAAAATTGCCCTATACCTCAGATGGCATAGTACTGAAATGTTTGTTAAAATTTTAATTCTCTTTATTGCTTTAGATATTAGTCAGTGCTTATTTGCAGGAAAGGAAAAGCATTCTAGCTGTTTTAAGCAGAAATTAGGAATTATTTGCTAAAAAAGCCATGGCAAGGGCTGGAGGAGTAGGTTCTAGAAATACAGCAAAGAGTAACAGCCAGAACAGCACTGCAGAACTGGCTCAGTGGGGAGCTGTTTTTCCTGTGCCCCAGTCTGGGAGGTAGGAGTCAGGCGACTGTCCTTGGAACTTGAACATCAGGAAGATGTCTCCGTAGGTGTGATCTGGAGGTTGGGAAGCAGAGTTACTTCCCAGTGGAAGTACTATTGTAATTTTGGGTTGGACTCTGCTTTATTGTGCAGGGCTGTTCTACCAATTGGTTTGCATTCCTGACCTCTGGGCACTAAATGCCTGTAGCATCTATAACCAGAAGATCACCTCTGTATTGCTAGTCTCTTTTGAGAAACCATACTGTTTCAGGGCCATACTATACCTGCAGGGTCCACACTGGTAGTCCATGCTAACAAAAATGGATGTTTCATGCCCTCTTAACTCCCACAAAGCTAGTGACCATTGGAATTGGGGGAAAAGAAAGAAAAAAACTGCCTCTGTAATCTTAGAGCTGACCACCTTTGCCAGCTGGAGCTAGCAGAAGCGTCAGAAAGATGGTTTTGCGTTAGGTCAGTTTTTTTCAAAGCAAGTACAACTAATTAGCAAGATCTGAATTCCATCTGGGATTTTTTGCTTTTTTAGTGTCTGTAGTACAGAAGGCACAGGAGAATTTGGAATGAAGGTTGAGTACCAATCTACCCTGCTCACCATAGTTTATTTGTTGTATTTAAGTGGAAGCTTAGCCTAGATATTAGATTCAATGGTGATAAAGAAGTAAAGATAGATTAGCTATGTAATTTAATCTAAATCCAACCTTAGCATTCTCAAAAGGGGTTAAAAATTGATTTTCTTTCCTATGTCAGGGACAGGGGCAAAAAATGTTAATTCTTTATATATATTATATTCAGGTCTACTGTATAGGATATAAACAGATACACTAAATATAGCTGTGGTATTACAATATCATGTGAGGGGGCAGATAGGTAAAAAAAAGTCTAAAGAAGTTCCTTAGGTGGGTAATAATGAGAAAAGGTTGAGAAACACTCTTCTAATCAAACAATGGCCATAATTCTAACTTTAAGAACATCTTTTGCAAGAGCAGACTGAAAAATCATGGAAAATTCATCTCTGTTACTAGAAAAGTATCTGAAAATTCATAATGATATACCACTTTTTTTAAAGGGGTAGGGGAGTGTTGCTATTTCAGCAAACTGTCATTTATTTATTCAACAGTTTTTACAGGCTTACTATATGTTATTCACATGGAGTTCAGAGAAGAATATGATGTGTCCTACACTTTAGAAGCTTGTCTGTGATCTAAACTGAAAGCAGACAATGGAAAATTCTCTTTTAGGGGTTGTCATTAGTGATGGATATTCAAAATTTTGTATTTTAAAGTCACTTGAAATCATTTTTTCTTTGTGTGGTTATGCTACCAGTATGACACAGTTAGGTTCATGTGTTTCTATTTGTTTTAAATTTTTAGGGACTACTTATTTTTTCTTTTTAAGTCCAACAATGTATTTA